CATTTGCAAGCTTTTGTCACAGCGTGCTTCTCATTCCCGGCGTGTTTACTCCCGACAACATCTTATAACCGCTGGTATAACATGACAGTTACATTTATTTGAAGTCAGAAGAAAAATTGTGCTTTTGTGAACGCAGTGACGAGTTCAGAGTGGTATTTAACAGTGCATGGACGGCTTTTGACAGCTGCAGCAGCGCTCAGACCTACAGCCAACAGTTTTAATATTTCTGTGATGGAACTTCATTCGTCAAGATTTCAGGGGGTTATAGAAACATGCAATAAGTGTGAAGTGAGGGGTTTTACAGCGAGTTTGTGGATTTCACTTATTGCGAGTTATCTTTAGAAAGTAACCCCCGTGATAAACGAGTGACCACTGTATACATGTTTATACTTCACACTGTTAAGGTAATCGTATATACATGATTATACTAAATATCTGAAATCCTTCATGTTGATATAATGTGTCCTTTAGTTTCCTAGCAGCGAAGGATTGTTTTTACGTCAATATTTTTAAGTGCTCCGCAGGTTGGGGATAGATACCATTGGGTAGGGACCTTTAGGAACTCCTATAATTATGATGCATTGCTTTGTATTTACTTAATTAAACTTACTACCTAATTGAATGCGCACGATGATTGAACTTATTGTGTTTATTCATAATAGAAATTCCACAACATGAAATTAAAATGTTTAAGGGACAAAAATTAGACATAATATTTCCTCTTTACAGCTTTGGTGGAAACAGGTCTTCCAAACGGACAGTGTCTCAAAGTAGTTACAAACTGGCTTAAGGGTGACAAAAGCATATGGTATGGAGTGCCCATTTCAAAGCCCTGATCTGAGTGAAAAGATGTGTGAGAGCTGAGAGAAAGGATCCCTGACACTCGAGTCAAACAGATTTAATGGCAATTCTACCAAACAGAATGTAAATAAACGCCTGACTTTGTAAAAACAGAAGTGAAACAAAAAACATCTCCTTTCGTGTGTCATGGGAGATTGCCATATCCAAAACACTGTATTTTTGCACTTACAAATGTCAGGTTTCTAGTCTATATCTCCACCAGAAATGTTTGGTTTTGGGTTGGCAGCCTTTTCCTGGCAAACAAAAACAGCCTTGGCAGCCTGGGTAAAGTGGCCTGTCAGGTGTCAGAGCCTCAGCCAGAGACCTGTGCACTCAGCAGATATCCAGAAAGACCCATTCCCTCGTTGGTTCTTTTACCCTCAGGACGGCGCTGCAGGGCCACTGTGTGCGGGACAAAAAGGTCGGGAACTACATTCATCCCAACTGCAGAAGTAACCTTTTTTTTTCTTATGAAATCATCTTATCGTTTGAAAATTAAGAGATCCTTTATTTGTCCCACAGTGGGGAAATTTCAGTGTTGTATCACAAGTTATAGAACAGAAGGAAAGAGGAGCAGACGGCAAAAGTTAAGTGAACAATAGCTATACTAATAAAAATAAAACAATAAATCTCTAACACTAAAATGTAAGGGACTATAGCTTTAACTCCCACAGCAGTAACCATGGCAACACACTTTTTCACTGTCAGCATTTACCCAGCACTTCTTACTTTATACAAACTATTGCACTTCACAGCATTATTGCACTGGCCTTAAACTCGCTCTGAGACATATTATTTTTTCTATCTTCATCGGTATTTGTGATTTTTACTGCGTCTGTTTGTTTGTAAATGTTTTCTTGCTGCGAAACCAATTTCCCCTCGTGCGACAATAACGAGAACTTTGAACTTTCAGTAGAATCGTGAAAAAACATAATTTCTAAAAACGACAATTTTCTATTTTATGTTGCTTCCTGCTGCAATATTCTCCTCACAGAACTTGCCACATGGTCTCAGTGTCTTATATAGTTGCACCACAATATTGACCGGCTGCTCTGGAGTCATGGCCAGCCGGCTTTGTCCTTTATGTCTCTATTATTCTCCAAACATGGTAAAAATCTATTCCCTTTCAAGCCCTGTGACTGGTTATATACAAAAGAGCACATGTGTTGGTCTGTTGGATTCGGCCCAGCTTTTGTTTGCAAGTAATTTGTTCATTTAAAATCACATGAAGGGGTTTCTGCAACGGGACCATATTTGTTACAATCTTGTTTGTAAAGTAAATACATACATTTGTGATGAAAGGATTAATCAAAGCAATAGTAATATTCAGTCATAAAAAAATGCTTTCATTACAATTACAACTTCATCGTCTTATTCAGATTATTTACATCATTACTTAAACTGAACCTAAAACTGCCTCAAATGTTTTACATGGAGTTTTTCTATGTAAACCCACATTGCACTGATAAATATTATAATTCATGACAAAAATCTTGATAAGATGAAACATACCTATTTTGTGAAACAGATTTAATATGCCTCGACATTTGTTTATTTAACATGGACATAAGAATAACATGCATTGCTCTAAGTGTTTTAGCTCAGGTGCTTACAACACTAGTCCACAGGGGGCTTTTACAGTGCAGAAGATAAAATAAATGTTTAAAGAATTACAATATAATTTACACGTGAAAACAAGTCAGTCTGGATCTTAACCACTGTTTGAGCTCTCTGCTGAAGATGGTCATGTTAGTTTGTAGTTTTAGCCCGGTGGGGAGAGTTCCACAGTTTAAGCCCTCTAAAAGAGAAGCTGGATTGTCCAAAAGATGTTCTGTGCTTTGGGAGCACACAGTCCCCACTGACTGAGGCTCTGGTGGAGCCTCTGAGAGCAGACCAACGTAAAACGTTTGTGTTTCTGTATGAAACACGGCTCAAAAAGGTCACAGAACACTGACCTTAAAGATGCAAACAATGTGAATGGACTAATTATCTGATAGCTGCAGCCCAAATGTTAATTAATATTTACAAAGATTTTCTGTGAAGTAAAGTGGCGTTTTTTTGTTATCAGATAAGGTAAGTTAATGTTGTGAAATATATTTAAATCAAACCAGGTTAAAGTGACTGGCAGCTACTTCATTAGAGCGAAAAGGATGCATGCACACTGGCTTGTTGTGGCTTTACCAAAATAATAAGGAGGAATATAGAAGTGAAATAATGCTGCGGAGCCATGAGAGCTCAACTCATTAATTGTAACCTCTGAAAAATATGCACAAACACACACACACACACACTCACACACACACGCGCGCACACACACACACACACGCACAAACACACACACGTTAAATTGTCCTTTACATGCAACAGCAGTCAGAAAATGGGAGCTGTCTGTGGTGCTGAAGTTGGTGGCACAGCATTAACCCTGACATTTAACATGCTTTAGGATATATTCACTTTAAATTGGGTCAGAATGACGCAAACGCAGCGTATTTGCATGAAACCTATAATATGCCGAAATATCACTACATAATGAATCAATCTTAATGCTGTTTTCTAGTCAGTGCTCTAGTTGGGGTAATTGGGAGCAAATGCCATACCGTATTATGAACGGTTAGTCTGAATAAAAGAGCAGCAGGTTGAGATGGTTCAGTTTTTACAAGTTTTATGAGTTTTAGTGTGCTTAGTATTTCCGTCTGCGTTCCACATGTCTGCAGGTTTAAGCTAGTGCTACATATATTTGGGATTATGTGATTAAAGTCTGAAGGGTGTAAAGGGGGGAGGGTTCTTGTATTTACATTATATTTCACATGAATAGGCCTGGTATTGAAATGCTTAGTTACTAGAAACTTAAATTTGTGTATACTCTCAGGCGCACATGGATTATTCAAAACAAAGGAAGGTTTCTCACCCATCATCTGTACTTCAGTTAGGATTGTCAACCCAAGCAGATTTTGTTGGATCTGCACCAAACCACAACCGTTTTAGTGGACAATAAATGTGTACAATAGATGAGTTCGCCTCAGGATCTGTCTAACCACACGCACAGGTTATAAATCTCCGACTCATTTCTTTGAGAAAGTTCTGCGGATGGAGAACGAAACGTCGGAAAACCTGCTAACTGGAGTACAGAGGATGGGTGAGCAACCTGTCTTTGTTATTTTACTATAAACTTAGTCAACAAATGTGGTGTCTCATGTCGTCTCTTTACACTGGTGCTTCTCAAACCTTTTTTTCATCCAAAATCCAACTTTGGATGAAATACAAAACACGCCATCAAGAAGTGGCTTGACAAATATAATGGAGATAAGCCCCTGTACTTTTAAAACTACAACTTTACATGTCATTTTCTACCAGACAATTACAGAATTTGTTGGAAATGTTGGGGGGACTACAGTAACTGTTAGCACATCGATAAACATAAAAAAAACCTGTCTGAGTTAAAAATGTGCACTATTTTTAGTTAGTTCAAAACGTTTAGAAATGTTTACAATTGATGTACTTATGTATCTGGATGTGTTTCTTTTGCTGGACACCTGAATTTCTCCTATGGGGATGATTAAAGTATCTATCTATCTATAAACAAGAGTATTACAAATTACAAAATGTTTAAGAAAATATCTCAAAAATACTATTATCAGTAAAAACTGGATACATTATATTGCGTGTCTATAAAATAATAATACTACGTCCACTGTTATGAGTAAAAACAGTAAATAATTCATTAAAAATCGGCGGAGGCGAACCGTATGGTGTAAAAGTGCATCCTCAGGGGTTTGCCGCATGACCAAAAGTAGTTTTATTAAGCCTCCTGTGCATGCATAAAGCATGGGCTGAGCCTTCATCTTTGTTAGGGTGAGCTCATGCAGTACACCAGCGGCCTTCACTCGTTGGCTACCTATGCAAGTGAAATTCGACAGGGGAAGGCCATCAGCAGAGCATGCCTGCTTTAAATGCCTCTGGCCTGCGTCTGCCTCAGCTACAGAGTCCAGTGAGTTTTTCATGTAGTGTAAAAAAACATTCACATCTGCTCCAAGGCTACTGGACGAGCTGCATGAGGTGAATCTCTGTGAATACTGAGCGCCGCTACATGCATTCATAGATAAGATGTACGACACCTCAGGACACACACGCACACTGACACAGGGATGTGTAGGTCTTACCGTTGGAGCAGCCCTTCAAACGAGCTCCTCTGATCGGAGCCCTCTGCAGATCAGCCTTGACTCTGGCCTTCAATCCCACATTCTCCTTCTGCATGGCATTCAGAGCATCGCTGACGGAGTTCACTACTTTCACCATGTTCACTTGACTGTCTGACAGAAGCTGCAACAGAAAGATTGAAGATTATTGTCAGCATTAGAACCATTATCATAAAGGGCTGAAATAAGAGAATACAATTATTTACTTAGTTGTCCTATGTTTCTAAATAACACTTCAGGAACATAGTTTATATATCTATCTAGCTAATATCACAGAATATTAGTTAAATGTAGTACCTAAGGTGTTTGCATACATTTCACAATAAAAATATACATGGACAGAGATCCTAAACCTTTCTCATGTTCTCAGCAGTGACTCTGCTGTTTGCAAAAGACATAGACCCATGTTTAATCCACACCACCACGCTGTGTCCCCGTCACACTGGGATTTTTTCTCCTTTAATTTGTAGAGGAGCTAACAGAGCTAATGCTACTTCGGTTAATAGTAGTTTTTAAGATGCTGCACATGTGAACCACATTTCCCATCATGCACTATGGTGTGATGTGACTGATTGGATCAGAACAATTGGTCATTGTTGTTTGGCTGCTCTCAGTCCTTAACTTTTCTTTTGTAATCCCAGATGTTTTGAAAAATATACCAGGCTTTTGTGCAGTGTAGACTACAGTGCCTTGCGAAAGTATTCGCCCCCCTTGAACCTTTCAAAATTTTGCCACATTTCAGTCTTCAAACATAAAGATATAAAATTAAAATTTTTTGTCATGAATCAACAACAAGTGGGACACAATCGTGAAGTGGAACAAAATTTATTGGATAATTTAAACTTTTTTAACAAATAAAAAACTGAAAAGTGGGGCGTGCAATATTATTCGGCCCCTTTACTTTCAGTGCAGCAAACTCACTCCAGAAGTTCAGTGAGGATCTTTGAATGATCAAATGTTGTCCTAAATGACTGATGATGATACATAGAATGCACCTGTGTGTAATCAAGTCTCCGTATAAATGCACCTGCTCTTTGATAGTCTCAGGGTTCTGTTTAAAGCGCAGAGAGAACCATGAAGACAAAGGAACACACCAGGCAGGTCCGAGATACTGTTGTGGACAAGTTTAAAGCTGGATTTGGATACAAAAAGATTTCCCAAGCTTTAAACGTCTCAAGGAGCACTGTGCAAGCAATTATATTGAAATGGAAGGAGTATGAAAGTAAAGGGGCCGAACAATATTGCACGCCCCACTTTTCAGTTTTTTATTTGTTAAAAAAGTTTAAATTATCAAATAAATTTCATTCCACTTCACGATTGTGTCCCACTTGTTGTTGATTCATGACAAAAAATATTTTTTTTATATCTTTATGTTTGAAGCCTGAAATATGGCGAAATGTTGAAAGGTTCAAGGGGGCCGAATACTTTCGCAAGGCACTGTATGTAATTAGATCATTTATGAGTCAAAATACGCTTTATACATAGAAGAGCACTATATTGAAGGCTCATTATATTTTGATTTTGATCCGAAGCCTCTCATGTTCTCGAGCTGCCGTTTTGTATATTGATTCCAGGCGTTTTTTTTCTCTGTCCCCGTCTTCCGCCACCTGCTCTGGTCTTCAATCCAGGAGCTATGGATGGCAGCTTTAACAAACCTAATGTCCCGTGTCCCAGCTGTTAAACCAGAGTCACACAAAAACTCACTGTACATACATAAGCCCAAAGTCAAAATGTATAAGATTAAGATTAAGAGATCCTTCATTCGTCACACAGTGGGGAAATGTCAGTGTTGCATTGCACGTTACAGACTGTGGGAATCAGGAGCACACAGCACAGGATGAATTAATATCAACTCTATTAAAAAAATATATAAAACTAACTCTTGCATAAAAAGAAGCAGTATAACATCTCTATCTTTAGCATAATAAGGAAATATGTCTAAAATCTCAAACTTCAGCTGATAGAGAAGCAAGACTTAAGTACAAAAAGCCCTGACTTTAGCCTGAAGCAAAATATAAACGAAAATATGGATAAAATATAGTTGTATGTATACATCTGTACATGTTAGCAACAGTCCGACTGACCTGTGGGAAGAGGCTTGAGAGAGTTGAACATTTTTCAACTTAATTGTACAAATATACAAATGCAATACAAATGTGTTTGTATTGCTGCACATTTCCATTGGGAATACGTTCCACCTCGTTCTTAATTCTTCCTCCAAATTATAAATATATTCACAGTAGGAATGCCAGGTAAACTGCATTGGGATTGTGTTCCAAATGCCTTCCATAAATATCATTTTGATTAATATTTAACCTACTTAGAAAACCGCTTTGTATTGTTGGTGCCTGTTAGGCCGTCTAATTTGTAAATTTCATTATACAAGAATGGGGTAGGAGTTTATAAGATTTATGTTTCTTCATCCAACTCCTGCTCTCATGGAATGTATCACTGTTCTACTTGCTGGATTGTTGTGGTATTTTTTTTTGCTTTATTATAAAACAAATGGAGCACACACAAAAAATGTGAGCTTCAGTGACAGACTTATTCACCCTCGCTGTGAGAAGGAGAGGTTCGGCAGATCTTTTCTTCCTGCTGCTGTCAGACTGTACAATGAGAACTGCTGAGCCTGTACATGTCATTCACCTGCAAATAGTAAATACTGTAATCATGTGCAATGTGCAATACTGCGACTTCAGAATGTCCACTGAATGTCACTTTATCTACTTATCATCCTGCCCTCTATGTATATAACTTTTCACTTCATATATAGATAGAGATAAATTGATATTGAAGCATTTGCAGATAGCTAAGAAACATAGCAGCTACTTACATTGTATATTGTGTGGGCTTCCTGTCTGCTCTCGCTGCTGTCCTATACTTACTACTTACTACTGTGCGCTGCAACAGCGAAATTTCAACACAGCAGGACACATAAACAATCTCTTATCTCTTAAAATAAAGGGACAAAAAAACGTAGAAAACCCGGTATAAGATGCACTGAAACATATAACCAAAAGCTGTCTTGTGGAATGAACATGTGCCTGGTAAATGCCCTGTGCAGCAAAGGCACCACATTGAATCCTATCCCATAATATGCCACGGTGTATGGTCTAAAGCCAGCGACCCCTGTGGGAAAGCGGGTGATGAATGTGTGTGCTGAGACTAGCAGAGCACCGTACCCTCTGATGGTCACTTCGTTACCTGCAGCCCTTCATGAGCTGTTCATTACAGAAAAGGTCATTCTCACGTTTTGCCCTGTTGCCCACATGCAAAACTACTTCTGCATTTCAAATCAAACACATGCAAATACCAGCGTGTGAAACCCTGATCCTGTCAGATCTCAGGACTTAAAGGACTCAGTCTGGTTAGCGCTGTGATGGGAGACCTCTGGAAACCGTCGGATAGCTGAGGTTACGCTGAGGTTTTGTAATTTTTCCTCTGTATTTGACCCATCCTTCATTCTCTGTCAGGAGCCGGCCTCAAGGTAAGAGGCAATTGTGAGCCCAGGATTCGGCTGCATCCAATTCCATCAGAAAGCCTCCTTACTAGTTACCCTATGCTCCTAATAGAAAAAGTTTTGGCTGAAAATCACTTTGGCCAATGTTATGCTTCAAACATAACAGTGGATTTCTAGCATCCTGAATCTCTCCTACGGGGATCAATAAAGTATCTATCTATCCATCTATATATCGATCCTTTATTCGTCCCACAGCGAGGACATTTCAGGTGAATGGAATGATTAAGACGGAAAGTGAACGGTCAGCAGGTTGATTTAGGAAGTCAGATGCACCCAATAGTAGGCTGCAGACTGCAAGCGAAAACACAAGCTTTACTTTTTAAAGCTAAACTTGGCTTATTTCCAAATGGATGATTACTTCATATACGCACAAACTTATCGCACATGAACATGAAACTGGTCTGAACGGAACGGAAAGACCAAAACACACCTTTGAATGTGCTTTTTTACATTCCTTTTACGTTTTGTAATTTAGCTATTGCCAGGCACATTATGAATAAGCCTCGCTAAAGGTCCTGTTCATGATAAATATGTATCGGAGCCATTTTTGTGTTGTATCATTTTTTTGCCTCATATAAGGGGGCTAGTAATATGTATGTGTAATATCTGATTGGGATAAAGTCAGTGCCTCACCGATCACCACCCTCACCGCACATCACTGCATCAGTATACAAACTAGCAAAAATAGATCTTTTTTTCTACTTTTATCTACTGTTCCCAAAGTCATATAAAAGCCGTCTACATTAAAGGTGAGGTGTTAAACCCGCATTAGACAGAACCTCTCGCTGGCCTCAATAAGCATGCGGCGCTCCCCGGAGGCGCTCCAGGCTGCACTGAAATCGTGTTACTCCAACTCTGCCGGGCCCCGCTCAGACTCACAGATGTTTTATGTCGACCCATGTGCACCTTGTGATCACACAAAACTACAGCAAAGATACACCAACAGGAGTATGGAGGACCAAAAATGACTAAAGTATAAATAAATAAATAAATAAATAAATACAGGAATATATTAATAAATACATTCATTTTGGAAAATAAAAACTAAATATTTACATTGATGTGTTAAATATTACTATGAAATCAAATAAATATACTTTTATTTAGGTTATTTATCAAAATCTACATTTTTTCCTTTATTTATTTATCCATTTATTGCATATATTTATTTTTGTATTTCTACATTTCTTCATTTATTTATTTATGTATTTCTACATTTCTTCATTTATTTATTTATGTATTTCTACATTTCTTCATTTATTTATTTATGTATTTCTACATTTCTTCATTTATTTATTTATGTATTTCTGTGTCGCTACATTTCTTCATTTATTTATTTATGTATTTCTACATTTCTTCATTTATTTATTTATGTATTTCTACATTTCTTCATTTATTTATTTATGTATTTCTACATTTCTTCATTTATTTATTTATGTATTTCTACATTTCTTCATTTATTTATTTATGTATTTCTGTGTTGCCGTATGCTAATTAGGCGGGCGGTGCTGAACTCAATCTAGAACAGGATTGGTGGGCAGTAGGTCAGCCAGGGCAACCAGACAGAAGCAAAGTTAAGC